ATACTTCATCTGATAATTATTTTCAAAGATATTTTCTTTTGTAAAAACATTTTATTTTTTAATATTAAAATTTCAAATCTTGAGAGATTTAAGATCGTCTTTTGATTTAACAATCTTCTTTGTTTTATAATTTGTCAATGGTGAGGAACCTCCATCTCCCCACCTCTAGCACATCTTCGAGACAACTTTAGGAAGGTAGAAGAAGATAAATAATTATATTAGATTATATGAATTAATTTTAGAAAAATGGATAAATGTATTGGTTAATATTATTTTGTTAGAATCTGTTGGAATTTGAATGTTAGAATCAAAATTTGTTAGAATCAGAATCAAATTTTTGTGGGTTATTTCTAATCAAATAGAATGTGTAACACTTTCTACATCATCTTCATCTACATTGATTTCAAAATTGATGTAAATCGTCAAAATTAACTAATGTAAAATGTGTCTCATGTAGTAATGAAATGTCGTAGAATAAGGATCAAATGGAGTATATAGTACATATAAAAGAGACATATTTGTGTATTTTTTTTTTTGTCACTTTTTTTAAACCATTGTATCATTATAACTACCCTAAATTACTCAATTTCCAAATATATGAATGTTTACTCTAACTTCTTAAACTCTCCAATTGTCATTTATCAATGTTATTGTATAGGTGCATAAACTTTTATATGAAGTAATATTTTCATTTCTCTCGTTACAATTTAATGATAAGTAAAAAGGGTAAAAATGGTACATCATTATTTTGTTTAATATAACCGTTAAAATCAACTAATATAACTACATATGTTGGTCTGTGTGATTCAGTTATAAGTGTCGTATAATAAGGATTAAAGGGATATTAATCATCTATACTTAGATATAAAAGAAATACAAATTTTTGTAACTTCATTTTTGTCGTCAATTTTTTTTAATCTTATTGTATCACTATAATTACTCTAAATTACTCAATTTCAATTTCCATATATAAAGAACCCATTATCATCTCATTTATATTCTTTTTTTGAAATATTTATTTATTTTATTTCTAAACCTAAACCCTAAACCTAGGACCTTATATGTTGAACCAAGGACTTCTATGAATGTCTAGTATCTTGGTTATGATGATAACAAAGTAATAAACTTGAGTGACTAACAATTGGCTAAGTCATTTAAGGAAACATGCATCCAAGATATAAAAGAAATGAAAACATAAAAATATTTTATTTAATAACATCTTCTATAAGTACATAAAAATGAGACAAGCATAACTCCTATTAATTAAGATGGTTAGCATCTGCATTCAATGTCCAACTTGTTGTGACAAGCGTTCTCTAGGTGTTCACAAGTCCAAAGATTGTTCGAACATTTTGCACCTTTAATAGTCATATTCAAATGTTCAAAAAGTTTAACTTATAAGCGTTCTAATAATATATGGATGTTATAAATGCTATTATGCATTATTTTTTCCTCTTTTGTGATAGTGCACATAATGCTACAGTGGAGTTGAACCAAATGTTGCATCCATAAAAAGAAAGTCAGTCACAAAGAGGATTATCACATATACAGTAGTGTGTTAAGACATTCTTGCTTTCTGGTTCATTCCCTTATCAGGAAAAAGCATTTATGAAGTCCTAAAGCATTGGAACACAAGAATAGAATGACCCTATTGTGAAGATCGAAGATCATCTTTTGCAACAGTAAAAAAACAAAGGCTCTCACCAATATATACTTTTTTGAAGCCTATAAATACAAGAAGACTTTAAAAGAAGATGTAGTCATGTGAATATTGTAAAACACTTTTAAGTTGTGCCAAAACTCTATTGAAATCTCTTAATGTTTATAACTCTTGCATTTCATTGTCCAATGGACGATCAGAGAATAGTTTAGTTTTGGGTGTACCCAAACTTAGATATCTTCTCCATAAGAGTTTATCATAAACACTCTATACCTTTGTTGTTATAAACCTAAAGAGGCTAGCTAAAGAATATTGTAACGTCATGCTATGAGAAGGCTAGTCGTGGCATAAAGAATACTAGTAGTTGTGGCTAGAAGTGTCAGTAAAGAATACTTGTGCATAAAAGTTTCTAAGTTAGTGGAACCCTTCATGTTCGTAGATAACTGGACGTAATTCAAGTTAAGTGAATCAATATAAAAATATCTTGTATTTTATCATATCGATCTTCTCTCACATTCTTTGGAAGAACTACTTTTATAAACTTATATAAGTTCATTTGCAAAAGGTTCCAAAATTACACTCACATACACATTCAACCCCTCCTTTCTTTATGTGTTTCTTTTAACCTTCACTATACATACTATCTCAACTTAGACCAACCTAGTGATTCAAAATATTTTATGAATAACATTAAACTAGTATTTTAGCATGTAGATGTTTTATAATAAATTATATATACAATTAAATGCTATATGTTTAAATATATAAATTATATTTAAATTTATATAAATAAATATTTTTAAATATACAATTTGTATTTTAAATTTATGGTAAGTAATTTATATTACAACACAAGATTATTTTTATGTATTGATATTTATCTTAAAAATATTAAAATTATAAATAATTATGATAAATAAAAATTGATTTAAAAAAGAAGTTAAAAAAAATTCCTAAAAACTCTTTCGTTGAAGAAAAGTTAATAAAAACGTTCTTGTACAAGATACTCGTTTGTGTTTTCTATGTAAGGGTTGATATTATATTATTTTTTTTCCTTTATATATTTGAATTTAATATTATATTTTGAATGTATACATGATGATAATTTAATATTATATTTTGAATGTATTGATATTTATCTTAAAAATATTAAAATTATAAATAATTATGATAAATAAAAATTGATTTAAAAAAGAAGTTAAAAAAAATTCCTAAAAACTCTTTCGTTGAAGAAAAGTTAATAAAAACGTTCTTGTACAAGATACTCGTTTGTGTTTTCTATGTAAGGGTTGATATTATATTATTTTTTTTCCTTTATATATTTGAATTTAATATTATATTTTGAATGTATACATGATGATAATTTAATATTATATTTTGAATGTATTGATATTTATCTTAAAAATATTAAAATTATAAATAATTATGATAAATAAAAATTGATTTAAAAAAGAAGTTAAAAAAAATTCCTAAAAACTCTTTCGTTGAAGAAAAGTTAATAAAAACGTTCTTGTACAAGATACTCGTTTGTGTTTTCTATGTAAGGGTTGATATTATATTATTTTTTTTCCTTTATATATTTGAATTTAATATTATATTTTGAATGTATACATGATGATAATTTAATATTATATTTTGAATGTATTGATATTTATCTTAAAAATATTAAAATTATAAATAATTATGATAAATAAAAATTGATTTAAAAAAGAAGTTAAAAAAAATTCCTAAAAACTCTTTCGTTGAAGAAAAGTTAATAAAAACGTTCTTGTACAAGATACTCGTTTGTGTTTTCTATGTAAGGGTTGATATTATATTATTTTTTTTCCTTTATATATTTGAATTTAATATTATATTTTGAATGTATACATGATGATAATTTAATATTATATTTTGAATGTATTGATATTTATCTTAAAAATATTAAAATTATAAATAATTATGATAAATAAAAATTGATTTAAAAAAGAAGTTAAAAAAAATTCCTAAAAACTCTTTCGTTGAAGAAAAGTTAATAAAAACGTTCTTGTACAAGATACTCGTTTGTGTTTTCTATGTAAGGGTTGATATTATATTATTTTTTTTCCTTTATATATTTGAATTTAATATTATATTTTGAATGTATACATGATGATAATTTAATATTATATTTTGAATGTATTGATATTTATCTTAAAAATATTAAAATTATAAATAATTATGATAAATAAAAATTGATTTAAAAAAGAAGTTAAAAAAAATTCCTAAAAACTCTTTCGTTGAAGAAAAGTTAATAAAAACGTTCTTGTACAAGATACTCGTTTGTGTTTTCTATGTAAGGGTTGATATTATATTATTTTTTTTCCTTTATATATTTGAATTTAATATTATATTTTGAATGTATACATGATGATAATTTAATATTATATTTTGAATGTATTGATATTTATCTTAAAAATATTAAAATTATAAATAATTATGATAAATAAAAATTGATTTAAAATTTTTTAAAAAAAATTCCTAAAAACTCTTTCATTGAAGAAAAGCCAATAAAAACGTTCTCATAGAAGATACTCGTTTGTGTTTTCTATATAAGGGTTGATATTATATTATTTTTTTCCTTTATATATTTGAATTTAATATTATATTTTGAATGTATTGATATTTATCTTAAAAATATTAAAATTATAAATAATCATGATAAATAAAAATTAATTTAAAAAAGAAGTTAAAAAAATTCCTAAAAATTCTTTTGTTGAAGAAAAGTCAATAAAAACGTTCTCGTATAAGATACTCGTCTGTGTTTTCTATATAAGGATTGATATTATATTATTTTTTTCCTTTATAGATTTAAATTTAATATTATATTTTGAATGTATACATGATGATAATTTAATATTATATTTTGAATGTATTGATATTTATCTTTAAAATATTAAAATTATAAATAATTATGATAAATAAAAATTGATTTAAAAAAGAAGGTAAAAAAATTCCTAAAAACTCTTTTGTTGAAGAAAAGTCAATAAAAACATTTTCGTACAAGATACTTGTTTGTTTTTTCTATATAAGAGTTGATATATATTATTTTTTTCCTTTATATATATTTGAATTTAATATTATATTTTGAATGTATACATGATGATATGCAAAGTAATATTTTAACAAAATGTTATATTTAATAAATACAAGATTTTATAGAATCTCCAAAAATATGATATGATATATAAAAAAAAAATTAGAACACCCTTGTAAAAAAAAAATGTTATGCTCTTGCTAGGATCCTCATCTTTGTCACAAAATGCTATAAAAAGGTCATTTGTTCATGCAATTATTTGCAAGCAAAGTAAACACCTTGCCAATGGCCAACACTGAAGTTAAGCTTTTTTCAATAGTCCTGCTTTGTATAACAGTAGTTCGAGGGAGCAAAACATTTCACCAAAACAATGAGTGGCCAACATTGGATGCAGTTATTAATGATGTTGGTGGTATCTGCAAAACAACGGTAGAGACACAAGGTTACACATGTGAAGAACACAAGGTGCATATATTACTATATCTTGTAGCATACCCTACCATTGATTATGAAGGCATTTTAGGGATTTGTTGTTTTGCTGGAGCCAGGTTACAACAAACGATGGCTACATCTTAAGCATGCAGAGGATCCCAGTAGGGCGATCTGGTAAAAAGGTTGACAAGCCACCGGTGCTATTACAACATGGTATCTTTAGTGTAAGTTATGTTAATGCATATATAAGAGAAAAACATGTTTTTTGTCTACTAAATTTTTGAAAATGTAGAGGCAACAATGTGAGTTTTTAACCAAGATAATTAATTCCTACCTAGCTTGAAATAATTGACTTCAATGGAGGATACTTGTGATCTGGACCAAAAAAATCTAAGATAATTAACTTTTGTCTGTGTCGCTTTAGGATGCTAAAACATGGCTGGGTAATTCTCCTGATGAATCATTAGGATTTATCTTAGCAGATAACGGGTATGATGTGTGGCTTGCCAATGCTCGTGGGACACAATACAGCAATGGGCACAAGACACTTAATCCAAATGACAAGGTTATTTTACTTATGAGTTTTTAGACTTTGAGTAAACTAGTTGATGGTTGCTCTAGTGGATAATTGTTTTATTCATTATGTATAGGCTTATTGGGATTGGTCATGGGATGAATTAGCTAGTTATGATCTTCCTGCTTTTGTCCAATATGTGTACAACTATACTGGTCAGCAGAGAATGCACTATGCAGGTCATTCCTTGGTGAGTTCTTTATTTCATTATGTTCGTCATTTTAGACTTTCTTATGTCATATTAAAAATATTTTTAGTTCCTATACATTATTTTCAAGTTTTTAGTTCTAGTCCTTACTCTTTAAAACTTTTCTTTGGATCGTTTATAGTTTCAAAATCACTCGGAAATGGTTCTTGGTATAGGAACCAAAACTAGAATGTGCACAAGATGACGAAGCCAAAATCCTAATGATTTTGAAAATATAGGACTTAATTAAACTTTTAAAGTATGAGGATTAAAATCAAGACTGCAAAAAACTGTAGAAACTATATTTATTGTATGTATATTTAACAATTACTTTATGTTTCAGGGAACTTTAATGGCTTTAGCTGCTTTGTCTCAAGGGCAAGTGCTGAACATGTTGAGATCATCTGCATTACTTTGCCCAATTGCTTACATGAATCAGATTACATCATTGCCAGTAAAACTTGCTGCTGACACATTTATAGCTAATGTGAGAGATAGAATCATTTAGCTTAGCACTGGTATAAGAATATATATTGAATACAATTTTCCTTTTCTTGATATAACAGGACTTGTATTGGTTAGGAATCAGTGAATTCAATCAAAACGGGTAACAAGAAAATCTTAACCTTGAATATATATATATATATTGTAACTTTCTGCAATGTATTTGAGTAGCAATGTTTCCTAATGAGCAGGGGTGCTGGATCAAATTTTGTAGAAGACATCTGCAATAAACTAAACTTGAACTACTCAAACCTAATGTCACTTGTCACAGGTGTTATAAATGTTACTAAAGTATATATTATATTGATTCCTACTTCTACGGATATTGACATTATTTTGGTATTGTTTACCTGAAACTTTAGGTCCAAATTGTTGCTTAAGTTCGTCCAAAACAGATCGCTCTTCTGAGCCAACAGCAACTAAGAATTTGATCCATTTATCTCAAAGTAAGTCTACTAGTAAGAAGCAATTTTTCAGTGTGAACTAGTGTGATTTGATTTTAAAGCATTTCTAATTTCTTGTTGATATTTCTTTCTATGGATTTGTAGTGATCAGAACAGGAAAAATAGCAAAGTATGATTATGGTGATCTAGTACAAAATACGATGCACTATGGGCAAATATTTCCTCCTCTTTATGACATGACGACAATTCCAAAAGAGTTCCCTCTTTTTGTAAGTTATGGAGGCCAAGATATGCTAGCTGATGTAAACGATGTGCAACTTTTGCTTAATGACCTCAAGGATCATGATAAGAACAAGCTCGTAGTTTTGTTGAAGGAAAATTATGCTCACATTGATTTTGTTAGGGCTTTCAATGCTAAACAAATGGTTTATGATCCTATGATGGCTTTCTTCCAGATTAATTAATTTTACAACTATTATTAATCCTACTTCAAATATTGAATATGTTATGTTGTTCAAGACACTAATACATTACTCTCGATGAAGTGAAACAATCATGAATTTTCTAATGCATGGACAATATTTTATCTTATGGTAGTATTGGAATTTTTTTTATCCAAATATTACAAAACAAATAATAATTTTACCAAAACTCCATATCTTTAAACATATTTACCGCAATACTTTATACATTGGAACAATTTTTTCATCTAAAAAAAGTCAATCTAAATTGGGAAACAATTCGGTCAACTATGTTTTACTTATAAAAACATTATAAATATATTAATAATAAAATTTTACTTATAAATTAAATACAATTAATTATAGAATGAAATTGAAGTTAAGCTTTACATAATATTAAATTTTTTATCAAAATAGTAAATCTCATGTTATTATATAAAGTTGTTAATGTTGGAGCAACTTTTCTCAAAAAAAAAAAAAGGTCTAAATTAGGAGACAATCCAGTTAACTATTTTTTTTACTCTATAAAAGGATTATAAACACATTAATAATATTTTATTTATAAATTAATTACAATTAGTTATTAAATAAAATAATAGGCAAGAATAATTGTATATTTTAAAAATTCCAACACATTAGAATAAGAGAAATTTAAAGATTTTAAAAGTCTATCTATACCTATTATATTAAAAATTAACTAAACCTAAGACTCAAATATAATAAAAATAATATTAATGGATTCAACAAATATTAATAATTCATAAATACTTTTAAATAAATATAAATACATGAAATATTAATAATAATTATTATATTATATTTTATTATGATATATCATGGGCAATAAAACAATTGGTAAGATGTTCCAAGACCCGCGACGGTATTTAACTGAATTATATTGTGGTAATTCATCTATTTGTCATAATATGCACTATATTTGTGGGGTTTTACTATTAACCTCCACAATAAATCGCCAGAAAAATCTGATTTTTTTTAGTGAACTTAATCTACTTATGTTTTCAAATTAATCTACATAATAAATTAGTTGCTTAAAATTATTTTTGCATAGTTTTTTTGGTTTTAAAAAACTTTTTTAAAACTTTATTCCAAAGAAGTAAATTGATCTATAGTTGTATATAGGATATCAAGTTGAGATTCCTTGCAAATTCAAATTTATTAAATTTTATATGCAAAGTTTATGCTTCATACCACACAACATTCAAACATAAAATCATAATTACAAGAATGTAAAGTCAAGTGTAAGGATCGAGAAAAATACACAACAATTTTATATTGGTTCAGGTACATCCACGTGTGACCTACATTCAATTCCCAATCAATTATTCGATTGAGATTTTTCACTTATATTTAATATTAGAAGTTTTACAATCACAATTTTACATGCAATACAGTTATACACTATTAAAGAAATCACTTCTTGCACCCTAAGATGCATTTACTTGTAGCATCCCATTACAATAGATTATCCTTTTTGAAGAACCCTATTTAAGAAAAACAAAACACAAAAGTTAAGGAACGGATTCACTTGATGTACATAACAGATTAGAATAGTTGAATCAACTAAAGTAGTTTATCTTATCACTCCATGAAGATGATGATCAATTCAATTATTGAAATCTTTCTTGAGGTTACCACAAAAGTTACTTAACCTCTTCTTGCAAAGAAAAACATTTTTTTAGAGAGTATTTTTGAAAAAGATATCACAAAGATTCAAGTCTTTCTGTTTTAGGTGTGAAAAATGATATATATATATATATATATATATA